CTTTGTGCTCATTATTTTGATACTATATTCTCTGTTGATGCAGCCTAAAACTGCAGTGGGTCTTTTGGCAGCTATGACACATTGCTGATTCATGTTAAATATGTGATCTACCAAGACTCTTAGACCCTTTTTGAAATATTACTGCCAAGTGAGGTACTATCTATCTTGTACCTCTGTATATAGTTTTTCTGGTTTTAGGCCAGGATTTAGTACTGAGACATCCTTGATCATGCTTGTTGATGACCTGTGGCAGAGCTAGGAGGGAAGTGGTGAATCCATCCTTGTGCTCCCTGATCTCTCAGTGGCTTTTGATATGATTGACCACCTGGCTCCGTGGGTTGGGGATTGGGGGCACTGTTTACGGTGGTTCTGTTCCTTTCTCTGGGGCCAGTCCCCCGCTGGTTTGGGGTTCAGTATCATCAGTATCCTGATGATACCCAATTATATCTTTTGATCCAGGGCCAGCCAAGCGAGGCTGACAAGGTTCTGTCCCAGTGCCCGGAGGCTGTGTGGATTTGGATGGGGAATAACCACCTCTGACTCAATCCTACCAAGACCAAATAGCTGTGGGTATCTGAACCACCCAGATCTGGAGATATTCCATCTTTGACCTTGGATGGGGTAGCACTACCCCTTCAAGGTTGGTGCACAATCTAGGGGTCTTCCTGGACTCGCAGTTTCTGCTTGAAGAGTAGGTGGCAGATGTGGCCAGGAAGGCCTTTGTACAACTCCATCTGGTTTGCTAGTTGCATCCTTTCCTAGATCGGGGGGCCCTTCAGACAGTCACTGAGTATTTGGGCAACTTAACTGCCTTTTGGGGGGTTGTTTGTTTAGATCTTGTTTATGACATGTTAGGATTTCTTGTACAGGTTTTATTGAAGATGTTGTATTGAAGGATGTTGATTTAATAGAAATTGCTTTGAGTCAACAAGATTCGGAAGATTACTAATTAAACAAACAAACAAACAAACAAATATTCAGTCACCCATGTCCTAATCACCTCATACCTTGACTACTGCAATGTGCTGTATATGGGGTTGCCCTTGAAGCCACCCAGAAACTTCAACTGGTCCAGAGCAGCGGCATGAGCAGTGATGAACATACTTTGCTATGCCCATGTAACACCTCTGTTTCACAAGCTGCACTGGTTGCCAGCTTGCTTTCAAATGCAATTCGAGGAGCTGGTTGTTACCTATAAGCCATAGATGGCACAGGGCCTGGTTACTTGAGGAACTACTTGTCTCCCCTAGTATTTGCCCAACCACTTCAATCTTGCAGGGTTGGCATACTCTGGGTTCCTTTGATTAAACAGTGTCATATATCGGGACCCTAGAAGTCCACCCTATGGAATAAGGTTCCCTTCGAGATCCATATGGCCCCCACTCTGCTGCTGTTCAGAAGAGTAGTAAAGACCTGATTCTTCACCAACCCTTTGGCAAGGGAGAGTGAGATCCCTTGCTTCATTCCCTCTGGTCTGTCATGCTTGCCATTTTTTATCTTTTATTAATTTTACTGTAATTTCTTTGATTGTTGTGAGCTGCCCAGAGTTGGGACTCAGGCAGCATACATG